TTTGCCCTTGGAAGTTCCTCACTAAAAATATTTAACGATATTCTTTGAAACCAATTCGAAGGAAAATCAGTGCATTGAGGACCAAAACTATTTCATTCCAATATCTCACGTACCGAAACATCATACAAAGTTTACCATTAAATATCAGTTTTTATAGTTCCACCGCGCCAAATGAAGTAGTAAAGTCACCTCTCGAGTGCAAAGGGTTAATATTACACCTCGTACAATACATCAACTCGAGAAACATTAACATAAAATATCTCCGTTCCTCAATATACATATTTCTCTCCAAGCTCCACAAACTATCTCGTCAGAAAATGAAATATTTCCATCGAAAAATTCCGAGTGCAAAGGGTTAACCACTTCCGGTGAAAGCGACCTTCCATTCGTCGATTTCGAAAGGAAGGAACGCAACGTTGCAGATATCCTCGTCCCATTCCCGAAAACCCCCTAAACTACAGTGATCTTCACGAAAAATCGATGGACAGTCGGTAATACCAATAAACCATAATACTCGGTGGATAATGACGGCACTCGGTCACAAATCATCCGAACCGTGCGTCACCTTCGAAACACCGTCGATCGTCCACGAGACGCGACAGGGCACGGTGAACCATGCAAATCAGCGCGAGGTATTCGCGCACGAAAATAATGTTCCGCCGTGGCCCCCGTGGATGGTTGGTTTATCGGTACGTTTACAGCATTGTAAATCTTTTTACTGCTACTCGTCTTTTTTTCCTCTCTCTTCTCTGTCTCTCTCTCTCTCTCTCTCTCGCTGTCTCTGCCCCCCCTCCGTCGTTTTCTGCCTCGGCGAGTCCACTGCCCTCTTTCAGACTTCGTCTCCACTTTCTCCCTCTGTGTTGTTTTCGCAGAACTAAATTCAGTTTATTGGCCGACTGGACCAACTAGATGAAACATGGACACCGACACTCGATTCTGGACAGCCCTCTCCCCCCGGCCCCTTCCGCGTTTCTTTCGTCATCGCATTCCTCTCGACGTCCGCGTCACTTCAGCCGCGTGAAAATACACCGCTCGCCGATAAAGATCTTTCCCAGCCGAGAATTAGCAGTGTTTTCGAGCGTCGATCGCGACCGTTACAACGCCGCTCGACGTTTATTTTGTAAACACTTAAATCCGTTACGGGAAACAGTCCTCCACCCGGAACAATGCGCGCATTTGTACACGCGCTGCCAATAATTAGAGTCATTCCGCGGCCGACCGCTCGTCCACCGCTGAGAATCACCGAAGTGCGCTTCGGAATGGCCTGTCGATGTTTATTTTACATCTCGTTTTACCGAAAGGGTTCCGTTCTAGTCGAGTTCGAATTTTCTATGGTTCCTAGGACTGGATTTGTTTAACCCCTTGACATCGTGTGAGAAACTTTGAGAAACCTAAGTATTATTCATTTTTTTAAATACAAATTGTTACTTTTCTATTATCAATCGTTAATCTTTGGAGTGAATATTTATCAGTTTTTTATAAAATTCTCTTTCTCAGTGAATCATTAACCCTTTGCACTCGAGAGGTGACTCTCAGTCACCACTTGATTTGATTCGCAAAATTATAAAGTCTTATATATAATATTAATGGAATATTGAAATAAAATATCTTTTCTCTTTAATTTATACATGTTTCCTCATTAATTCATTTCAAAGAGCATCGTCTGTATCTCATCGGAGAATATTGAATATTTCTAGTGAAAAACTTTCGAGTGCAAAGGTTTAACTATAAAGTACATGTATCGATCACATTTAGGGAATAAATCATAGAGCAAGGGGTTAAAGAAATTGATCTGGCAATATGCAAATGGAATGAATCGATTAAAGTCTCGGTAGATGTACTCTTGAATTTTCTATGGAGAAATTTGAAAAAGTGAATTTCAGTGCTCGGTGGTTCTAGTGACGTACGCGAAGCTGTCAACATATGAAGATAAATTACATCGAATGCTTAACCAATAAAAATAAAGGAATACACCGATCTCTTGCTCGAGTAATTAAATTGATTCAAAATTTCATCTCGCCCAGATGTCGACGTCCGCGAACAGTTGAATTGATAGGAAGTAAATAGTATTCGAGGTTATGACAGTTACTCTTCCCGCCAAAATATCGGATTAACAAACGGAAACGTGGGGCGGAGATACGGAGACAGTTACTCCGGGTATAAACAATGCTGCCACGATACATGTTTACCTTCGGACAATTTTTGGATGTAGGCCAGCGTCGTTTCACGCTCGGTACGTCAATTTGGTACTGGCAAACGGCCGAAATTTTCGTCAAACAGATGTCCGAATGACTGTTATTATCCGCTTGTTACAAACGAGAACGAAGAATGCTTGATCGCGGCGCTAGCGATACCCCGCCAAAAAAGAAGCACATTGTTGTCATATTTAATGGAACTGGTCCTGACGTCTCGTGACAGGTTAACGCGTTGATTGCTAGCTCGAATACCTGGTGTTCAGTGCTGCCAATAAAAACCGTATCGTACAATTCGCGGACAGTGGTGTCTGGCTCTCGAAAATGTCGATTATTTCTTATCGAATAGAAACCTATCGAAGTGCGTTATTATTAATTAAATTAAACCATAAATTAGATTAGGTACGTTCCTTGCCACGGAAACTTTGGTTATTTTTTGCTTATGAACTATACTGATTTTTTCAGTAAAATAATAAGTTGCATTCAAGTTTCATTTTTATATATTTTAATATTGTTTCATGTTTTCACTGCTTTCTAACGTATACCATATGACCATGTATCCATTAAAAATATTTTTGTACAAACATTGGCGTGTACCATATGTGGTACACGTGGCACGGAATGTTAAATTGAACGTTAGATAAAATTAGGTTAATTTGTAAGCAGGTTATCGGTTAAAATGTCAATGAGAGATGAAGAAATATTCTCGTGGCAAGGCTACGCGACACGCATGGCGAGCAGATGACTCGGGACGACACGACGATCCGAATAACACGTAAAAGATCATTCGTTTGGGATTGTCAACTCGTTCGAATCGCATGTGCACACAAGCGAATGCATTAACGTCGCGACCGAGTCTGCACGAACTGCGGGTAGTAGCTGAATTAGAGCCCGATCGTGTCAACACCGAGCACCGGATAGACGTGGCAACGTTGTACGGACGAGTTTAGTAGCCGGCTAGCCAAAGCACGGAGTAGCCGACCGGTGGAACGTCCGCACGTCCGGGAACGACCTTCCTTTACTCGTCCTGTGTCGAAGAACCTCACCTCCCGGACTGCCGAACAGATCTTCGCTTTTTTCCAACAAAACGTCGAAACTCGACTGCAAACCTACACATAATCAGCGATGTTCAATTATTTCCATGCAGATTCCAAAAGTACTATTCCTAAATCTTCCTTTTTATTATCATTCATATCATATAATTATTTATCATTAGAACTCTCGAACGATGAGAATAATTTATTTATAAATTCCGAAAACATAACTCCAGCAATCAAAATCCTCTCGTTTCCGGTAACGCTAGTTAATCCTAACCAATCAGGAGGAACTTGTGTTTAACACTTTGCCAAGTGAACACTCATTAATACTACTGTCTGTTAATTAAACAGAAACAGTCAAAATTCTTCATAACAATTACTCCATCTTTCTTATATCTGTATTAAAAAAAATCGGTTCGTTCGATACGTCACGAAAATGAATCTTTAAGTTGCTATAAAAAATAGCGTCACTCGAATGTCAGTAACCAGGCAGTGGAAATGTTAACGAGGCATTCGAATCTAATTAGAATCAGAAACAGTCGCGGAATACCGCTTCCGCGAGTCCGCGCACCGAGAAAATCGAGTTGCAGTTTTCATTATCTCTATTTCCGTCGAGTCGCGGATCAAGTCGAACCTTCTCGATTCCTCGCGACGGATCTCCGAATCGACCTCGCAGAGCGCGTCTCGAAATCCGATTCGCGAAGGAAAGAAAAAAAAATCATTTTTCGATCGCTCGGATGAGACCCGTTTAATTCCCCTCCGATACGGAACGTGTAATCCGACCGCGGTTACACGTCCTAGGGGGTTTCACTTCGCAGTTGGCACACGTGCGCAGGTGGAGCACGGCTTTTGCTAGGTGGTGGTTTTTTACATCGCGGGCTCTAGTGGTTTTTTGCCATCGTGTTTCTTTACTAACCAGTAGGGGGGTGGGGGCAGGCGAGCGCGAGAGAGAGAGAGAGAGAGAGAGAGACGGCGAGTGCGAACGGCGGTTATCGGAAAAGGAAAGTAATAT